ACGAAGCTTTTGAATGTAAACACAACAATCATAATCGCTTCGGGAAAATCCATGCTTTAGCATGAAGGAGTCAAATCGCTTGTACTACTGCCGAGGAGATTGCTTCAGTCCATAGAGTGACTTCCTCAAGCGACATACATGATGCTCCTTATCCTCAACCTTGTAGCCCTCAGGTTGATGCATGTAGATCTCTTCATCCAAGTCTCCGTGCAAGAAGGCTGTCTTGACATCGAGTTGTTCCAGCTCAAGATCACCATGAGCAACAATACTCAATAGCACCCGAATAGAAGTGTGTTTCACCACCGGAGAAAAGATCTCATTGTAATCCACACCCTCTCTTTGTGCAAACCCTTTAGCCACTAGCCTCGCCTTGTACCTTGTACCACCGAGCTCTGAAGGATCTTCCTTTCTCTTATATACCCACTTATAACCAATAGGTTTTCTTCCTACGGGCAATTGGACCACCTTCCATGTTTGGTTCTTCCGAAGAGATTCCATCTCCTCCTCCATCGCAGCCAACCAACTCTCACTATCCTTATCCCGAATAGCTTCCTTGAAGGAGACCGGCTCATCATCCTCCACCGAGAGTGCGTATTCCACCAAATTAACCTGCCCATAGTGCTTCAGGGGTTGATCAGCCCCCAGCTTCTGTACCTGCTTGTATGCTCGCCTTGGTCTAGTGGAAGCCAAGCTATCCTCGTGTATTCTCCTGCTGAACCTCCTCCTGCTCAAGCTCATCATCTACCTGATTTCCCACTTGAACACGACTAGAACCTGGTTGGTCTTTCGGTTCTATCTCAATAACCTGGGACTCGGGAGTCCTGACAGTATCAACACCACCATCTTTGGGCATCCTAGCAATCATGGACTTCTCATCAAAGGTAACGTCTCTGCTGATCACGAACTTTGAATCTTCTGTACACCAAAGGCGATAGCCTTTTACACTCTTTGCATACCCCAAGAAAATTGCCTTCTTGGCCCTCGCGTCAAGCTTTCCCTCATTGACGTGATAGCAGACGGTACATCCAAAAATTCTGAGCCTCTCATAATCTGCATGTTCCCCTGACCACACCCTATAAGATGTATCACCATCTAGTGTAGAATGTGGAGAACGGTTCACACTGTAACATGTTGTAGCCACCGCTTCTGCCCACCATTCGTTGCCCAATCCAGCATAAGATCGCATACTCATTGTTTTTTTCCTGTAATGTTCGGTTCAGTCTCTCCACTACCCTATTCTGCTGTGGTGTTGACCCGACTGTCCAGTGTCGAACAATGCCCTCCTGATCATAAAACTTCTTGAAAGGACAATCTGTATACTCTGTACCATTATCAGATCTTATTGTCTTCAATTTTTTGCCCATCCTGTTCTCAACCATTGCTTTCCACTTCTTGAATGTCTCAAATACCTCATTCTTATGCTTAAGAAAATAAATCCAAGCATACCTAGAATAATCGTCTATGAATGAGACAAAATATCTGGAACCACCCTTGAAAGTTGTCTGAGCCGGACCCCAAACATCCGTGTATACATAATCTAGTATACCTCTGTACTTGTGATTGCTTTTCAAGAACTGGACCCTATGCAACTTTCCATACACACAATCCTCGCAAAAATCCATGCAAGGTTTCTTCAGATTCTTTAGCAAACCCTCTTTACCAAGTAGATCCAGACCCTTCTCTGACATGTGCCCAAGCTGCCTATGCCATAACTGTGTGTGCTCATATGAGTTTCCACCACTTCCATCAGTTCCAATTACTGCATCTCCTATCATCGTTGTACCCGAGAGAGTATATAGATTACCGTGACGAATACCCTTCATCACTGTTAGGGAACCTCAAACAATCTTCTTCACTCTGTTCTCTGTAACAATCTTACAGCCACCAGAGTCCAATACACCCACTGAGATAAGATTCTTCCGTAAGTCGAGAACGTGCCATATGTCCGTTAGGGTTCTGACCACTCCATCATGCATCTTGATTTTTATATCATCGAGCCGCACCGCTTTACAAGCATGGTTATTCCCCATCAATACGGTTCCACCATCAATGCTTCTATAGGTAGTAAATCACTTTCTATTTGGGCACATGTGGTAAGAGCAACCCGAATTAAGTATCCACTTACCGGAGATATCTTCGTCACCCGCAACAACATAGCATTCTTTATCGCTCCCTTCCTCTGAAGAATAGCTCACTTCTTCCTTGCCTTCTCTCCTCTCAGTCTTGTTGTTGTTCTTCTTCCCACCTACTCTTTTGTTTGGACAGTCGACCTTGAAATGCCCAACTTCACCGCATTTGAAGCACGCCTTCCCGCAAGAGGTCTCGATTTAGATCTAGACTATCCTCACTTGCCTTTTCCTCGCTCATTGCTCCTTCCTTTAGCAAACAATCCCTGCGTTTGTTCTTTATTACCACCATTAGTTATGTCACTGGTTGCAATCTTCCGAAGGTTATCCGTTAGAAGCGTCGTTCTAGTCTCATCCACCGTCAAATTATCTCCCACAAGCATCAGTGTTTGCACCAGGTTCTCATAAGACTTCGGCAGAGATAGAAGTAGTAGAAGCACCTGATCCTCATCTTCTACAGTCACATCGATGTCCTTCAAATCCGATATTATCCTATCGAACTTATTGATGTATTCCCGGATTGATGAGCCCTCCTCCATCTTGCAAGTATACAATTTGAATTTTAAATAGACCTGGTTCGTTAGACTCTTTGTCATGAAGGTGCTTTCTAACTTTGACCACAAGCCCGCAGCCATTTCCTCTCCATCTACCAAGAAAGCTACATTCCTTTCAAGGCAAAGGATAATCGACGCCCGTGCTTCCAGATCCAGCTCCTCCCAATCCTCATCAGACATATCATTGTGCTTCTTCTCTTTTCCCACCAAAGCTTTGTGCAATTTCTGCGAAATCAACGTGTTCTTCATCTGCATCCTCTAATAGGAAAAATCATTCTTCCTATTGAATTTTTCAATCTCGTATTTTCCCACTTTAACTGTTTTACTTGTTGACGCCATTCTCCGCTTGTATTAATAAATCCGCTTCTCTCAAAAAATTACCGAACACCACCTAAAACCAGAAGCTACACCACTCTCAATCTGAATAACAGCTCTGATACCAATTGTTGGGCGCAGAGAGTCACGCCCACCGTCGCGGAAGCGATATGTCCTGAGAGATAGCCCTGGCTTTTGTTGTCACAAAAGCACAAGTCAACATCTATATTCTTGTTTCTCAAAGGAAACTAGAATAGATAGTGAAATTTTTGTTTCTCAAAGGAAACTAGAATAGAAAGTAAAATATTTTAACAAAGTAAAATATGCACTCTTCCTCTCATCAGTTCTAGGACTGAAATATCGAGGGAGCCTACAAGCAATAGCCAACACCCAGAAAACAATAAAGACACGAGATTTACGTGGTTCGGCAAAATTACCTACGTCCACGGGAGGGGTGAGGGGAGATTTCACTATGAGGAGAACACCGACGACTTGTACAATCCACAAGCTCATCTTAAAGAAAAAGATCTAATTTTTACCCAAAAAAAATTGACCTATCTTTTGTAAATCCCCCTTTTTCCCTCCTCAAAATCTCTCTTTAATTCTCTGCTCAGCCGCCAAAAAGAAAAAAAAACCCTCTGCCTTTTTTTTTCCCCCTGCGGCTTTTCCACACTGCAGCCGGCAAAAAATTCCCCCCACCCGAAAACCTAGGTAATACATGTGTATTTATAGTGAAATCACGTAAGTGTCTTGGGTGGGCTTGTTCCCTGCTCACGTAAATGTCTTGGGTGGGCTTTGGGCCCGCTGCACATGTCCACGTTCACAAGATTAAAGATCTTGTTAAGTGCCATGAACCTTGTTCAATTGCCTAAGCAACGTCTTCAAATGATGAGAGATGATGGATGGGAGTCTATGTTGAAAGAGTTTTTTATCATTTTGTACCAAACTTAATGTTTGAGGTGCTAATTATGGATGATGTTTATTTGCTAGAGGGGAGATCAGGACATTGTGTTAAGAAAAATACAAATGTACAGCTTATCTTTTTTTTTAATACCTTGATTTATATGCAAGTTCAAGAGCATATCAATCGTTCAATGAAACAAGCACCGAGCTACTTCTTTGCGCAGAATGCTTAGATCCAAGTGCCTAATTTCCACTTTTGGCTCTAGTGAAGAGTCTTCATAAGCAAAAGGAATAGGTGGCCTTGCAGAGAAATTGGTTAAGGCCAAAAGGGATGTTGTACGTGGTGTATTTGCTAAATAAGTTAATGTTGATATTTCTGATTACAAAGACTTCTGTGGAAAGCTCGTTCTTCGCAAGGAAAATTATAAAAAATAGTCCTCATAATCGAATGGGAGATCAAGGGATAAACGACAGCTTAGTAACTTCCACTAATGAGGATATATTTAGTTGTCTATCAAATGAGGCTATAAAAAAAAACAATTTTGAAAAATGAAGACATGTGGGGACCAAGTACAGTTGTACTTAGTTAAATATATCATTTGTATCTCAATATAAGAGAAATTTAATAATATCGTATTTTATATATTGCGACACCACTGTTATGAATTCCTGGTTTCGTCCATGACTATCATTGACATTATCATTACCATGACCATGATGTGCGAGTCTTGATCTTTTCCTAAAGTAAGGTACTTCTCCATAACACTACTAAATAAACAAAAAAGTAAGACCCACCCACTTCACTTAGTTGTCTTTTTTCCCGAGCTTTGCTACAGGGACCCAAAATATGGGACCAATAGGGGGGACAAGTGAGGTGTCCCCCTCCTATTGGATAATGAGTTGGCCATCATTAATGATGGCCAACTCATTATCCAATAGGAGGGGGACACCTCACTTGTCCCCCCTATTGGTCCCATATTTTGGGTCCTTAAAGAATTTTTCTTATTTGATATGGGTGATTAGATATGTAATAGAACTTTTCTTATTAGCCCCACAGGGAATAACAAAATACACCGTTCGCAAGGAAAGTGAACAAAATATCATAAACCTGGCAGCAAGAAACCTGCCTGCATCCAAGCAACAAGAAACCTGCCAGCATCCAAGCAAAAGCACCAGAACTCAATGAACCAGCTTTTCTCACTATATATATATATATAAGGAGAGCTAGCATCACAAGTTAGTGCACAGTCTAATTTCAATACAGAGATGGGAAAGCTCATCAGCAATGCATCCACAAAGAGGTATAATCCCTGTGCATCCCCCTTTTTTTTATATGTAAAGTCCACGAGAATTCAACTTCCCAACTTGTATTGTTCACTCATATTCCAGGACTGCAGTAGTGACTGGAGCCAATAAAGGAATTGGGTTTGAGGTTTGCAGGCAGCTGGCGTCCCATGGAATCACGGTGATATTAACGGCTAGAGATGAGGGGAAGGGTACCGAAGCTGTTGAGAAACTCAAAAACTCCGGAGTTTCTGATGTTTTGTTTCATCAGCTCGATGTCGCTGATCCCTCTAGTGTCTCTTCGTTGGCAAACTTTATAAAGACCGAATTTGGGAGGATTGATATTTTGGTAATTAAGGATGAAGAGATTTTATGTGACACGCCCACTTTACTCTTACGTGGACTAGTTTGCAGAAATGTTAGTGAACAACTAGTGCTAGCATTTTGTCAGTGGATTTTAGCCAACATTGAGTTGCTCTTGATGGGTCACACGGCTTACTCGCACTCGCGCCAATAGGCCCGTGGGCCTGAGGCGTAACATTTTAGTCCCTCCGTTCATATCAGAATCATTAGGTTTAATAATATCCATCAAGAAACCTAATCTTTGTCTTATTACAGGTCAATAACGCAGGAATTGGAGGGTTGTTAACTGATGATCAGACTTTAAATTCCTTTCTAAAAGATCAGACTGTAACTTCCTTTCTAAAAGAGGTAACATGACGACAGAGACGATGTTGTGTCTGTTCCGTTGATTCATGCTCATGCTATCTGTTTGTGGATCTAATGCAGCAGGAAAATGGATATGACAGATTAATGGAATTCTGGGTAGAGGCTCAAGAGAGCTATGAGAAGGTAGTAGGATGCCTGAATATAAATTATTATGGCATGAAGAGGGTAACTGAAGCACTGATCCCCCTTCTTCAGCTGTCACAATTACCAACAGTAGTAAACGTTTCGTCTCGCCTTGGACGGCTAAACGTAAGAAATCTGCCATACATTTTACTTTAATGTCACAAACAATCACAGGAACCTACATTTTCTGGCATCAGGAAAAACTTGAACTTGAATCACACAAATACGTACGCGCATTCAAATACTTCCTCTTGCCCTTGTAATTTCTTTTCCCCCTCATTTCCATTCAAAAATCAGAACCAGGTATCTCCTTATCCTCCAACTCCTTGTCATTTCCCCATGTTCGACTCAATGCTTCATAATATGTATTTTGTATTTATTGGTATTACACCTCTTCTCATATCATGTGTAACCATGAAAATTAAAACCCTAAAGGACGTCTAAGAAAGTGATAACTCTACAGTATTGTTAAAAGTTTTGAACAATTTGGAAACTCCCAACCTAATCATGAGGAAAATTTTCGCTACAAGGACAACTTCTTTTGATCTCCCTATTTCTTTGAGGATAATCATACTTCACATATTGTTGTTCAACTGAAAAGTCATGCTTCACATAATTCAACCTTTCAAATATCATGTTTCTTACACCTTTTATCTATATATGCACTTTTCCTTCTAATTGACATTCATCGAAGTGAAAGACAATGATTTTTTGCTCAGGTCATTCCCAGCGAGAGCATAAGAGAAGCACTGGGAGTTGTTGATGAGAAGACAGAAGTGAGATTGGATGAAGTAATTCAATCGTATCTATATGATTTGAAGGAAGGAAAGCTCAAAGAAAATGGATGGCCAACTTGTTCAGCCACTTACAAGCTGTCTAAAGTAGCCGTGACCACCTACACAAGGATGCTTGCCATGAAATATCCATCAATGCGCATCAACTGTGTGTCTCCTGGTGTTGTCAAGACAGATATGAACTATGATATAGGGACGTTGACAGCCGAAGAAGGTGCTAAAGGCCCTGTGATGTTAGCTTTACTTCCCGATGGTAGCCCTTCGGGTCTTTTTTATGATCAAACAGAGGTATCTTCGTTCGAGTAACAAGTATTCCATATCATAGGAAAACAAAGTTCTGAGGTATCGGTATTAATAAGAAGTTGTTGCTTAGGTTGGCTTGTTAATTTGGTACCGAGAACATGAAAAAACTCCTTGTACCTTGTTTCTTTGAACATGTATAAGACTGTTCCAGAATAAATATATACCAATAATTGTTGGGATCCAACTCGATCTGCTAAATAACAGGAAAAATGATTTCACCAGTGAATGATGGAGCTCATACAAACTAAGAAGGTTTGTATTTAACTTGTAAGAACTAGTTTTTGAGTACTATGCTACCTTTCCATTATTCTTACTGCTATTTGTAAAGATCTTTATGTCCGATGTGATGACTTTCTTTGATAAGTTTGTGCACGTTCCCCTTGAGTCCTGCTGCCATCCTTGCCCAATAACTATCCCAGAGAAAATTGGCCACAGATCATGGAGAGTTAAATAGTTTTGCTTCAGTACACCTAATTAGTGAATGATATTAGTTGACAAGATCTCTAAAATTAGTAATTTGGATAATTTCTAGCAGTATTGGAGGCAAATAGAGGAGGTAATGCATTTGTGATGAACAGTAATGTGACAATTGACCATTTAGTTATTTTATGATGGAGCAACTTTAACCTACATAAACTGCAATACAGGGATTTGACTGCTGCTAAATGGCCTGTCATGTTATCTTTGCTTCCCCATGGTGGTCCTTTTGATCTTCCTATGAGTACACAGAGGTAGTTCATAGTAGTTTATGAATCCATGCCACACAGAGAAAATAAGACCATATGAGATAAATAAATAAGAAGCAACACACTGTGATGTATACGCGAAATTGGTTTTTGTTGGACATATTTGGAGGGAGTTCAATCATGTTGATCCCATCTCGCTACACACTTTTCCTCTTGAATTGTTATTTATGTTGTGTTACATGAAGAAAAATTGCATATTATGATGTAAGTTATGGTTTTGCAAACTTTGCACTGGGGAGAAATTCCTTGAGTCTTGCAACATGTTTATCAGTTACTTACTTAAATTACACTTGATTATGACAATTACAAAAATGTTTCAAAAATGATGCTCATAAATGTTGAGGGTTCATTATGCAAGATGAGAAGGATATTGGCTTAGGTGATGAAATACAGTTGAAAGTAATCAAATTGTAAGCCTAAAATGATGTGACGATTAGTTCTGGGCATAAAGATCATCTAGTGCAATTTGGAACTTATAGGGAATAACAAATACGCCGCTTGCAAGGATAGTGAATAAAATATCTGTAACCTGCCTGCATCTAAGGAAAAGCACTGGAACTAAATGGCAAAACATTTTAAGTATGGACCTAAAGATTTGCACTTACCGCCTGTTTCTCTCAGACCCCATTTTATGAAGAAACCGCGAATGATTTGGTGAAGAACAGGTTTTGAAGACTGCAGGAGTCACATTTGGAGCTTCACGGTCGACCGCGGCGCAAGGCCGGTCGACTGCGAACGTGCACAGACTCTGGGAGGAGTCTGGCTTTGGCACGGTCGACCGCCGCGGTCGACCGTGAGACCCTGTAGGCGAATATTGGGCTCTGTCGTTTGTCACGGTCGACTGCCGTGGTCGACCGCCAGACCATGTAGGAGTTTTCCAGGCTTTGTCGTTTGTCGCGGTCGACCGTGGCGGTCGACCGCGTATCGGCTCTTCTTCTCTATTAGTAAAAACCCCATCCCCTTCTTGCCCCGTGGATGTAGACAATTGCCGAACCACGTTAAAATTGGTGTTTTGTTTGTGCATTGACATTGGTTGGTTTTTTGGCCCTATTTGATCGGCGTTTGGTTTGGTTCCTCGACACGGTTTTCAACAACAATTGGGGTGCTTTCTCCCAACAATTGGTATCAGAGTTCGGGCTACGCTTGGGCTATTTGGAGGAGTAAATCGATTTGGGAAGCTCGTCTAGGGTTTCAGTTGGTGAGAAAGGTGTGATCTTTTTGGTAAAGCTTCTTTCTTTTCTCAGTTTCGGATCTATTCTTCGTTTGTTTCCGCATTGGTTGTTGGTGTGTTGAGGATTATGGCCGAGAAAGAGGAAGTTGAGGGTAGTTCTTCAGGTGTGAAGACTGTCCAAAGTTTGAGTATCCACTCGATAAAGATTGACGTGGAGAAGTTCAATTGCACTAATAATTTTGGACTTTGGCGATGCGAAGTCTTGGATGCGCTCAATGCGCAGAATTTGGAAGATACGTTAGAGTTGGACGGAAAACCGGACGACATTGATGAGAAGGTTTGGAAAAAGATGAATCGGACAGCGTGTGGTGTGATTAGGTCTTGTCTCACTGAAGATCTAAAATATGATGTGATGAATGAGACTTCTGCGAAGAAGATTTGGGAGATCCTAGAGAGCAAGTACTTCACAAAGAGCGTTAAAAACCGCTTGCATTTGAAAAGGAGGCTTTATCGCTTCCAATTAAAAAAGGGGACATCCATTAGTGATCACATGAACCACTATACGAAGCTTCTTGCAGATTTGGCGAATATAGATATCATTGTTAAAGATGAGGACAAGACGTTGCTATTATTAAGTTCCTTGCCCGACGAGGAATATGAGACGTTTGTTCTTACTCTTATTAATAGGAAGGCATCTCTTTCATATAGTGAGGTTACCGTTGCATTAGTGAATTACCAACTCAGGAAGAAGGATAAGGAGATTTCTATTGAGCCGGTAGCGGGGGCATTGATTGCAAGAGCAAAGGGTCCAAACCGAGGTAGAATGTCACATTCTAGAGGAGCACATCTTGGAATTCGTAGGAATCAGTGTGCTTTTTGCAAAGAAGATAGATATTGGAAATCTGAATGCCCAAAATTAAATGATCAAGCTGGGAAGAATAAGGGGAAAGTTATTCAGGCTTCAGAGGTGAATGTTGTCAAGGCTAGTGGTAACGATTCAGATTCAGATTCTTCGAGCTACTCATTATCTGCACTGCCGTCAGTTTGTGTTGCCTACTCTACAGAGTGGATGTTGAATTCAGGCGCTACATATCATATTTGCCCTAGGAGGGATTGGTTCTCCAGCTTTCAGGAGTTGGAAAGAGGGGATTTCGTGCTCATGGGGAATGATCACAAATGCTCTATTGGCTCGATTCCATCCACCCTCCAACATATTGTTTGTCTACAATAAATAATAAAATACAAATACTAGAAAAATAATATTAGTCGTAAATTATTTGTTAAACATCATCAAAATAAGAAGGTCAACAGGTGACATTCGGGTCCATGATTGTGATGAAGGGCGTCAGAAAGAGTAACTTATACTATTTGCTTGGGAGCACGGTGATTGATAGAGCTCTGACGACTTCATTGGATTTGGCTAGATTGTGGCGTTGTTTGGTGCTGGGGTATTTGATTGGTGATGCCGTGCATAGCTTGTTGAGGAGTGCTTTGACCTGCAGATGGCAGTCCTTTGAGCACATTGGGATGAGGAAGACCGAGGTGGAGTTTGGCACTTCTATCCATCGAGCGAGGGGTCTTTTAGGAGGTGTTCAGTTAGGCATTTGGGGGCCTTCCAAGGAGGCATCATTGGGAGGTAATCGTTTTGTAGTTTTCGCAGTTAGTGATTGTTCTAGGCATTATTGGATCGCGACCAATTCCCGTTGGTGTAAAGTCCTAGAAGTCAACAACAATTGAAAGAAGTGTATTGGCAGAAAGGTAACTCGTTGTTCTAGCTTTGGTAGGGGTCCTTTCTTGCGTTTGTGCCGAGCTCACGGTAATAGGAGACTTGGTGTGGAGATTTTAGGGCGACGAGATGAGATGAAAGTTTCGATGGGTCGTTCCTTTCTAGAGGAGGATCGGCGTTGGTTGTCGAGCATTGGTTCTGGAGCTTCGACATATTTGGGTCATCTTAGTCATAGGTCGCCGACTGCTGCATTAGGAGTTATTGGATCTGGTAGAGCTGTTTCAGATTTTGGTCGGCGTCGGATATTTGGTTACCCAACATTTGGTCACATCGAGGATGTGAGATTTGATCCGATTGCGCGTTTGGGATTCGGAAAGTATCGACGTAATTTCATAGAGTCATTCGGTCTGAATGCTACATGAAGAACATAAGCCAGATGACGGAACGGGGAGACCTAGGATGTAGAAGATCATACATGAGTGATTCGGCAGATTTGGATTCCTATATATCCACTCATGTGATACTTCATCATACGATTCATATAAGATCCATCTGTCTAGATATCATCATATACATCTAGAAAGCCGTATGCTTTGGAAGAAGCTTGTACAGTTTGGGAAGGGGTTTTTATTGATAAAAAAGAAGAATCTACTTCAACCGATATGCCCTTAGGCACGGCCATACATAACATAGAAATCACACTTGGAAAGGGTGGACAATTAGCTAGAGCAGCAGGCGCCGTAGCGAAACTGATTGCAAAAGAGGGGAAATCGGCCACATTAAGATTACCTTCTGGGGAGGTCCGTTTGATATCCAAAAACTGCTTAGCAACAGTCGGACAAGTGGGTAATGTTGGGGTGAACCAAAAAAGTTTGGGTAGAGCCGGATCGAAGTGTTGGCTAGGTAAAGTCATAAGCGTCTATACCATAAAAATCGATTTTCGACGGAATGAAAAAGACATATCTGGGAGAATCGTGACCCTGTAGGAGATTTTTGGGCTCTGTCGTTTGTCGCGGTCGACCGCCAGACCCTGTAACGCATTTACAGGCTCTGTCGTTGGGCGCGGTCGACCGTGGCGGTCGACCGCGTATCGGGTCAGGCCCATGTTTGGTTTCCTGTTCTTATTGAGTTTTGGTGTTTGTATAAATACCAATATACGTTTCTAGGGTTTTATAGGCAAGAGTTTGGGATATTTGGAGCACAGAAAAGAGGTATTTTCTGAGCTATTTGTTTAGCGTTTTATTTGGAGAGATTGAGAGGTTTGTTTGTGAGATTAGATTGTTCCTTCGAGTGATTTGTAATCTCAAGTTGTACTCTTCTTCTCTATTAGTGAAAACATCATCCCCTTCTTGCCCCGTGGATGTAGACAATTGCCGAACCACGTTAAAATTGGTGTTTTGTTTGTGCATTGACATTGGTTGGTTTTTTGGTCCTATTTGATCGGTGTTTGGTTTGGTTCCTCGACACGGTTTTCAACAACAATTGGGGTGCTTTCTCCCAACATTTTAAATATCAGCCCAATCAAGCAAGGGGCATTAGTCAATGTATTCTTCTTTTTGATGAACTAAAATATGTCACTAGACATCAGGACAAATAACATCACAAGTTAGTTCATAGCCTAATTTCAATACAGAAACCGCTTGAATTAGAATATGGAAGCTCCCATCAGCAATGCATCCACAAAGAGGTATGATGACTGTTTATCACAAGTTTTTCTACATACAAGTTTGCAAAGATTATGTTCCCAACTTCTATTGCTCACTCATATTCCAGGATTGCAGTAGTCACTGGAGCCAATAAAGGAATTGGGCTTGAGATTTGCAAGCAGCTAGCGTCCCATGGAATCATGGTGATATTAACAGCTAGAGATGAGGGCCGGGAGGGGCACCACAGCTATTGAGAAACTCAAAACTCTGGAATTTCTGATATTTTGTCTCATCAGCTAGATGTAGCTGACTCTTCTAGTGTTTCTTCACTGGCAAATTTTATCGAGACCGAATATGGGAAGCTCGACATCTTGGTAAAGTTGAAGAGATTTTTATCCTTCATTTCACATCAGAATCATATTTTATTGACTTAATTTCGGTCTTTATCTAACAGGTAAATACTGCAGGAATTGTAGACTTTACCTTCTTCTAAAGAAGAGGTAACTTGCAACTAATATCAGAATAATTTGGAACTCATTAAAATGATGATGATGATGTTATTAGAAAAGTTTTGGCTGTTCTGGACTCATGATTATCTAATTTTTATGGGTCTAATGAATCAGGAAAATGGATTTGACATATTCAAGAAGTTATTAGAAGTGGCACAAGAGACTTATGAGAAGGCAGAAGAATGCTTGACTATAAACTGTTATGTCATGAAGAGAGTAATTGAAGCATTGATCCCTCTTCTCCAGCTAGGAAAATCACCAAGAATAGTGAATATTTCCTCTATCTACGGACAGCTAAGGGTAATCCACCATAGAGTTTTTTTTTTCTTTAACGTGGAATAATTTTTGGAAAGCTGCACCTCTAGCATCAGGAAACTTGAAATTATGCCATATATTTAATTACTAAACCTGACGATTGTGCAAACTCTTTATATCTAACGTTCTTTGTAATAACTACTTCATCTTCTCTCAAAAGAAAAGGGGGAAAAAAGAAATATTCACTAGTAGAAAATCATGTATTGTAGACGGAATATTCTAGACGGAATTTTTTCTGTCTAGAATGTATTAAACTAGACGGAAAAATTCCGTCTAGAATATTCCGTCTAGAATATAGCATTCTAGACGGAATTTCCGTCTAGAATACTATTCTAGACGGATTTTATTAATTATTTTTTAATTTTTTATGGTTCCCTTTATCCCAGACGGAAATTTCCGTCTAGGATAGTTTCCTGGACGGAAAAAATTAAATTTTTTTTTTTCCATTTTCGCGGTTTCACTTTTGGAAATCCCGCGTTTCCAAAAATCAGCCCCTTTCTTATTTACGAAAAAAATCCCTTAAAATATTCATCCCCTCTTTCAAATTCCCAGCTAAAAAAATCTCACCCCAACCCTAAAAATAGGACCCCCACCCCCGACGTCCCTGCCGCCGCCGCCGTTTCCTCCTCCGACGGCTGTCAGAAGATCAAATCAAATCTTAGAAGCGAAGGTTTTGATCCGATCGAGGCTAAGAGGCGCTGAAACTCTGGAAGAGAAGGTTTTGATCCTTGATTCTGAAGCTAGGGTTAGGGATTTCTTGGGATCGAGGAAGGGATGAGTTTCTAGGGATTTGGGGAAGCTGGAGAGGTCGGAGGTTGTTTGATCAAGTGTTTGATTGCCGCCGGCCAGGTGCACGTGCTTGATGCGGTGGCGGAGCACGGGGGCTAACTGAGGGCGGCGTGCTGAAGAGGGCGATGCGGGTTTTGGGGGATATGGTGGAGGGCTGGAGCTTGGATGGGGAGCAAGCTCGGCGAGAGAGCGGAGGGGATGAGGAAATGAGGAACCTTTTGAAGACCTTGGGGGAGGTTGAGCAGTTCTATGATTGCATTGGTGGAATCATTGGGTGAGTCTCTTTAACTGTAATTTCTTTCTTTGCTAGGTATTATTGCTTTGTCACTGCACATGGCTATACTTCATACTTGATCAATCTTCATACTTGATCAATCTTCTGTTTTCCTGGAGAATTCAACATTAATGTAATGGAGTTTCTTGTTTTGGAGTCCTAGAAGTTAGGGACTTGAATGCTAGGTCAATAAATTTCAACTAATGTATTCCATCGAGACTTGAAACCCAAGAATATACTTGCCAATACAGACTGCAAGTTGAAAATCTGTGACCTTGGACTTGCTCGTGTTTCATTCAATGATACCCCATCAGCTATTTTTTGGACTGTATGTGACTCTTCCTGTCAGTTGTGTTATTGGGCTGTTAATTTGTTAAAGTGTTTTTCAGTGTTTGTTATGTTTAACGGATATAAGTGATCTGGGATTTTCATGTTTCTTTCTTTGGTTATATTGTTGGTTCATGTGCTACACCTTCTTTTTTAGGATTATGTTGCAACTCGGTGGTATCGGGCTCCTGAACTATGTGGTTCATTTTTCTCTAAGGTGAGAACTAATTCAACTTTGTGTATACATAACATTTTTTGTACAAATAAAGGTGTTGCTAAGAGGGGCATAGATTTTCTCTAAGTTTAGACTATCCTACCTTATATGCACGTGATTAATTTTCTTCGGTTTAAGTCCATCAATCCAATTTAATATATGAAAACATTACTTCCATACTTTTACACAAACCTTTGTCACATCAACGGATAGCGGTATCATACATGCTCTTGTGGAGTTTTCTCGACTGAAATAACTTTGAACCAAGGTTCTTGCATTGCCTGTGATAGCTCAAAAACAATTCTCAGATGACATAGGTCCTTATCAGGAAAATAACCCTACTTATAATTTGTTTGATCATGAATTTTTTGCTACAAGAGCAAATGTGGCTCCATATCGTCCTAATAAAATATTCCAGATTTAAGAAAGCTCTCATGAAATAAGAAGCGAAAAATACTGAAAGTGTGTATTCATATTTGGGTGGCCATATCTAAATTGCAATGCCATTTATTCTACTCTAGCTGCGAGAATAAATAATTATTACACTTGGGTACTGCTTGGCATATGTTTTAAGGAAGAGGGATCAAGTAGAGTCTTTAAATTAAGACTGGTTATGTTAACTCCTGTGTTATTATTATGTTTCTCAAATTAAGACCTGTTTACCCACTTTGTGTAAATTTTGCATATTTGGCCAGTTAAGGAGTAAGCCTCCATCCCTCACTTATAATTTCTTAGTTTATCCTATTTTTAAGTTGTGCTGCACTTGTTTTATATCATTCACATTTCTCGCATGTATCTATAACTTCATTCACTATTGACGAAATGAATTTATCTCGTCCAATTAATGTCCTTTTATCTTTGTTAACCAAGTGATAAAGATACTTTCAGCTTCCAGCCAGGAACCAACACCTTCAGAATACGGCTATAAAACTGCTGCAATATGCTAAGCTTGATTTTTGTTATATTTGGTTTGCAGTATACTCCTGCAATTGATATTTGGAGCATAGGATGTATATTTGCAGAGGTATTAACGGGGAAACCATTGTTTCCTGGGAAAAATGTCGTGCATCAGTTGGATCTCATGACCGATCTACTTGGAACCCCTTCACCTGACTCCATTGCAAGGGTTGGTCTAATATTCCCTATTTTCATTCTATGTTCATCATAATTATAATTTGCTTTTATCTGCTATCTTTACTTTCTGAGTAATCTTAATTATCTCAGTAATCATATTCTTACTGAGACATACCTGGAGTACTGGATAAAGCACTAGATAGATCAGAGTCTTAGCTACCAGATGTACACCATAATGTACACCATAATATATGTTAGAAGTCTTTATTGTTATGAAACTCAATTTTATATCATCTCTTGATAATTTATTGTGTATGCTTGTATGTGAGATTACAATCATCATGTCTGGTGGTCTATATCCCCTTTTCCCCTTAGTTTTTGTACTTATCCATGGCTTATATTGGTGTCTATGCAATACGGGTATTTATACAAAATTGGTGCATAATGTATTAAGGACTAAAACAAGTTCTGTTTTGCTCCATTTTAGAATAACGTATTTTGTTGTGATAAAAGAGAATATTACCAAAAGCGTATCAGAAGTAGGAACTTGTACAAGTATTATAGGTGGGAGAATTAGCAGACAGGTAGAGGCTGAAAATAAATACTTCTACTGTACTAGGGAATCATGTACAGATTGAGGAACTTGTGGGTGATAAGTATTTTAGGTGGGAAATTTAGCAGACAAGTTGAATAAATACTTACTGAATTCTTCTTTTGCTCACTTATAGTGGCCAATTTGACAGGTCGAGACAAGTTGAATAAATACAGATGGTTCAGAATTAAATTCAATGACAAACGAGCGTCGACAGGTTTCATATTGTTATCTTACATTTTCTTGAAGTTAAGATACATGTATGTTGAAAACTGTATATTACAGGATGTGCCATTCTTGTATCTTATATGATATCTTACCTTTGGGACTAATTCATACTTATATTCATTGCTCTATTGTCTCAGCATGGAGGATAAGCTGTCTACATTACAGGATGAAAACCACATATTGAGACAAAATACAATAAGCACCTCACCTCCAGCAAACAATCTTTGTGTGGTCCCAACATTTTTCTCTGAGGTTTATTATTTTCTTTCTTATACTTACATTATTTCCCTAAGTTTTGTTGGTGTTGTTTTAGCTATATTTTCCCGTTTCCATAGGTACATATTATTTTACCATTTTGTATAGGCAGACTTGTGACACTCAGGATGATGAGGAAGAAGGTGAAGAAGAGAGCTTAAGTAAATATATGGGGAAGGAGTTGAAGAAACTTCTGCAGTGTCATAGCCATTGTAAATAATTTATGTAAAAGTTTGTAAACAATCTATGTATCTCTCTACTATTTTGATGAATGTATTATTTGAATATAATTGGATTTGATATTGGTTTGATATTGGAATTAATTAGATTGTGTTGGATATGAATATAATTTTTTGTTGTTCAATATTGTGTACATACACTCAAAGTAGATTCTGCAAAAAAAAAAAAAAAAAAACTATAGCATAGTATCCTAGACGGAAATTCCGTCTAGGATGCTTAAATTCCGTCTAGAATACTTTTTTAAAAATTAAAAAAATAAAAAAATTTAAAAAATCAAATTCCGTCTAGAATGAGATTTCTAGACGGAAATTTCCGTCTAGAATACTTATTCTAGACGGATTTTTTTTCCGTCTAGGATAAATTATTCTAGACGGAAATTCCGTCTAGAATAATCCGTCTAGGATGTATTCTAGACGGTTTTGAATTCCGTCTAGAATATTCCGTCTAGGATGTATTCTAGACGGAATTTCCGTCTAGAATAATACATACTAGACGGAAATAAACTAGACACGGAATTCCGTCTAGAATACGCATCCTAGACGGAATTCTGGGTATCCTAGACGGAATTTTCCGTCTAGGATGCCTCATTTTTTAGCAGTGATTTGTGGAGGTTTCCTATAAACTGGGCTCAATCATGGGGTCTAAAAAGATTATGAGATTGAGGCAGTTTGCTAGTGCTCTGGTTGCTAGGAATGGACATGACATTAGATGGATAGGTCCTGCATTTTCTTTTTCTGTAAATGCTGCATGCAAAGTTCATATTCCTATTCCCCTAAAGCTGAATGGTGGAATTTGGTGTGGAGGGAGTTAAATCGCCCGAAACACTCCATGATTATGTGGCTTGCTTGTCGAGTAAAAATCGCAAGCAAGGATGGTTCTCAGGAGGAGAGGGATTGATATTTGTGTTACTTGTCCTTTTTATGATAGCAGTGACGAAACAAGGGATCATCTTTTTTTTTGGTTGTTTTATTAGCAATTTTCTTTGGATGAGGGTATGTGAGCCTCGCTAGCAGCTACATTTTATAATATATTGTGTGCTAGAAACGAAGTTGATTTTTACGGGGAAAAGACCTAATGTGGAAGCTTTGTTTCGGAGGATTTAATATTTTCTGAAGATACAGCTCTGTAAGGTCGACAAGACGAAGGACTCATTGTGCATTAGAGAGGGGAGTAGGTTCTTTTTTCCCTCTTTGTTATTTCTTCAAATTGCGTATAGGTAGTGTTCATTCTGTTATTGCATCAGGAACAAAGAGGTGATGTTTTCCCTCTTCGCAGAGTTCAGTTTTATCTTTGGAGAGGAATGAGTATAGAAGATGAGAGTCTGTACTCATATGATTCAATTTGGTTATGAATAATAACTAGCTTTCTATCAACAACAAAAATATTTCAAATTTATTAGTTCTAGACATCTTTCTAGAATTAAAGTAAACAATAGTGGAGTATCTTTCAGTTGAAATCCTTTAAAGTAAGCTAATAATAGACAATATGTTAAAATACAATAATGCCAAAAATAAGAATTCCAAAAGCAGATATGGCCATTAGAATGTTTCAAACAACGGAAATTAAAACCCTGAAAAGATGTCAAAGCAAACTACAAGTCTACAGCATAGTGACATTTTGGAAATTTTAGATAAACTCTACTTTATCAAGACAAGAAATTTTACATGGGCAATTTTTTCATTCCTATTTCTGTTAGGTTGAAGGTGGATACCAACCTCCGACGGCGGAGGAGCTCCGACGAGCTCCAGGATGGCGTAGGCGGGCTCGAGCAGTTGAGCTCGAAAGTGGAGAACGCGACCCTCGATTGGCGAACGTGACCCTCGATTGGCGAACACGACCCTCGGCGTTGAGCGGCTCGACCCCCGCGTTTGAAACTCCGACGCTCGCGTCACGGCATCCCACCCTCGCGTCCGAGCAACCGCTGGCGACAGGCTGTCGCCAGCCTGTCAATTGGGTTGCTCCTTCTCCCCGACTTTTCTCTGGCGGCGGTGGAAAACCCCCAAAACGCAGCAGCGTTCTTTCTCCTAAAATCGCAGCAGCGATTTTCCATTTAATCCCAGCTTTTCAACAGTGTTTTTGAAAGGGGATTTAAGAAGAGAGAGAAAAGAGAAGAAGGGATTTTATTGTGGGTATTAACATTGTAGCTACAGTGTTCATTTGAGGAATCTCAGTTTAGAGATTTGCTCTTGATTTGTAATTTCTTGTTAGATTAAATAAGAAATTGACTGTGTGGCTCCCGAGGACGTAAGCAGTTGCCGAACCTCGTAAATCTTGTGTACTGTTCTCTATTCTGCGTTTCTGTTGTATTAGGGATTTCAGCGTTAGATTCCCAACAACTGGTATCAGAGCGTGAAACGATCTAGAAAAAGTCAGATTCAAGTGGGAGACATGGCCGCAGATGAGGGAAAGGTGAGATTAGAGAAGTTTGATGGATCAGATTTTGGATTCTGGAAAATGTAGATAGAGGATTATCTGTATCAGAAAAATTTGTATCAACCTCTCTCGGGGAAGAAGCCGGAGGGTATGAAGGAAGAAGATTGGAATCTTCTGGACAGAAAAGCCCTCAGAGTTATCAGATTGACATTAACTCGCAATGTTGCGTTCAACATAGCGAAGGAGAAGACCACGACGGGTCTTATGGCAGCACTCTCAAATATGTATGAGAAGCCATCAGCCTCAAATAAAGTCCATTTGATGAGGCGGTTGTTCAATCTGCGAATGGCGGAACGTGCATCGGTAGCACATCATCTAAATGAACTCAATACAGTCACGACCCAATTGAGTTCAGTTGACATTGAGTTTGATGAGGAAGTTCAGGCGTTGATACTTTTGTCTTCCCTGCCAGAGAGTTGGAACGCTACAGTCACGGCAGTGAGTAGCTCATCGGGAAAGAAAAGGTTGAAGTTCGACGACGTTCGTGATTTGGTTCTCAGTGAGGAGATCCGACGGAGAGAGACGGGTAGAGCTACAACCTCTTCAGTATTGCATACAGAGTCAAGAGGTAGAAGTTCAACCAGAGGAAATGGATCAGATAAAAGGAGATCCAAATCCAGAAATCCCAATAGTTCGAAGGCTATCGAGTGTTGGAAGTGTGGAAAAACCGGGCACTATAAGAATCAGTGCAGGAGTGCACGGGAGTAGTGGGAGGCAAATGCTGATGTGAACGTTGCCTCCACCTCAGGAGGAGATGATGCGCTGATATGCTCTTTGGAGAGCAAGGAGGAGTCTTGGGTGTTGGACTCGGGAGCATCATTCCATGCTACTTCTCAGAAAGAATTCATCGAGAAGTATATCCCCGGAAACCTTGGAAATGTATATCTTGGTGACAATCAAGCATGTGCCATTATTGGCAAATGTGTAGTGAAGATTAAGCTGAATGGGTCAGTATGGGAGCTGAAGGATGTCAGGTATATTCCCGACCTGAAAAGGAATTTAATCTCAGTAAGCCAGCTGGCTAGTGAAGGCTACACGTTGACTTTCCATGGCGATGACTGGAGGATTTCGAAGGGCGTAATAACGATTGCCAGAGGCAGGAAGACTGGTACCCTGTATATAACAGCGGGTGCACGTTGTTCAATCTCAGTTGCGGTAGGCAATGAGACTTCAAAGCTGTGGCACCAGAGACTCGGTCATATGAGTGAAAAGGGGATGAAGGTTATGCACACAAAGAGAAAACTCCCAGGTTTACAATCAGTAGAGATTGATATGTGCGAAGAATGCATACTTGGAAAGCAGAAGAGAGTTAGCTTTCAGACAAGTAGCAGACCCCTCAGGAAGCAGAAGCTAGAGCTTGTTCACTCAGATGTTTGGGGACCAACAACCACCGCGTCGATTGGTGGGAAACACTACTTCGTGACTTTTATTGATGATCACTCTCGGAAAGTATGGGTCTACTTTCTGAAGAAAAAGTCAGAAGTGTTTGAGGCTTTCAGAAGATGGAAAGCCATGGTCGAGAATGAGACCGGTTTGAGGGTAAAGAAACTCAGAACAGACAATGGTGGTGAGTATGAAGACACCAGATTCAAGAAGTTCTGCTATGAGCACGGTATCAGAATGGAGAGGACCGTGCCCGGCACGCCTCAGCATAATGGTGTGGCTGAGCGCATGAATAGAACGTTGACAGAAAGAGCCAGAAGCATTCATACGCAGTCAGGCCTACCGAAACAGTTCTGGACAGAAGCAGTCAACACAGCAGCTTACTTGATCAACCGAGGTCCATCGGTTCCATTGGAGCACAGAATACCAGAAGAGGTATGGTGCGAAAAGGAGGTAACCCTCTCACATCTCAGAGTTTTCGATTGTGTAGTTTATGTGCATATAAGTGATCAAGGCAGGAATGAGCTTGATCCCAAGTCTAAGAAATGCATATTCATCGGGTATGGTGAAGACGAGTTCGGCTACCGCATTTAGGACAACGAAAACAAGAAGGTGATCAGGTGCAGAGATGTGACATTCAACGAGAAGGTGATGTACAAGGACATGCATAAGACAGATGACGGTGACTCAGAGAGTGAGTCAATATTTGTAGATGCAGATGATGTCCCGCTCCGATATTAAGGAGAAGTACTCGTCCTCCTGTGCCTAACAGCAGATACATAAATTATATGTTGCTGACAGATGGAGGAGAGTCTGAAAGCTTTGATGAAGCTTGTCAGAGTGGAGATGCGAGCAAGTGGGAGTTTGCTGCGAAAGAAGAGATGAAATCTCTAATCTCCAACCAGACATGGGAACTAGCTAAGTTGCCCATGTGGAAGAAGGCACGTCACAACAAGTGGGTGTATCGAGTGAAAAAGGAGCAGAATGGTTCCAGAAGATACAGAGCCCGACGAGTTGTCAAAGGATTTCAACAGAATATCCAAGGAAGAAAGGATCCAGCGGATATGTTGACAAAGGCAGCGACCTTTCAGAAACTGGATTTGTGTGCAACTTCAGTTGGCCTTCATACATAGATGATGAAGGCGGAGCCACACAGGAGAGGAGCTTGATGAGATAGCCTGATTGTCGTCGGTTTGGTCTCCAAGTGGGAGATTGTTAGGTTGGGGGTGGATACCAACCTCCGCCGACGGCGGAAGGACTCCGTAGCGATGCTCTCAGGATGGCGCAGGCGGGCCTCGAGCAGTTGAGCTCGTAAAGTGGAGAACGCGACCTGCGATTGGCGAACGCGACCTCGACTTGGCGAACGACGGACCCTCGCCGTTGAGCCGGCTCGACCCCGCGTATTGAACTCCGACTGCTCGCGTACGGCATCCCACCCTCGCGTCGAGCAACCGCTGGCGACAGGCTGTCGCCAGCCTGGTCAACTTCCGCCTATAAACCCACACCGCGGCCCTAGGGTTTGGGTTGCTCCTTCTCCCCGACTTTTCTCTGGCGGCAGTGGAAAACCCCCAAAACGCAGCAGCGTTCTTTCTCCTAAAATCGCAGCAGCGATTTTCCATTTAATCCCAGCCTTTCAACAGTGTTTTTGAAAGGGGATTTAAGAAGAGAGAGAAAAGAGAAGAGGGGGTTTTATTGTGGGTATTAACACTGTAGCTACAGTGTTCATTTGAGGAATCTCGGTTTAGAGATTTGCTCTTGATTTGTAATTTCTTGTTAGATTAAATAAGAAATTGAATTTGAGGAATCTCGGTTTAGAGATTTGCTCTTGATTTGTAATTTCTTGTTAGATTAAATAAGAAATTGACTGTGTGGCTCCCGAGGACGTAGGCAGTTGCCGAACCTCGTAAATCTTGTGTACTGTTCTCTATTCTGCGTTTCTGTTGCATTAGGGATTTCAGCGTTAGATTCCCAACAATTTCTTGGTAATTATATTCCAAACGTTTGCCCACCACAACAATTTTCAAATTTCAGTTTTATCTTTCCATTCCTTTCATATACATAATTTTACTTTTCCTTTCAATTGACTATTGATCTTGAACTTCTTAGGCTTATTTGATCTTTCAATCAAGTTGACCTTGTCATCAAAGTAAAAGATAACATGTTTTTCGCAGTTCATCCCTAGCGCGAGCATAAGAAAAAATATGGACGAAATTGATGAGAAGACGGAAGAGAGATTGGATGAAGTACTTCAATCCTATTTTAAAGATTTCAAGGAAGGAAAACTCAAAGACAATGGATGGCCAACTCCTTACGCCACTTACAAGCTCTCGAAAGTAGCCATGAACAATTACACAAGGATACTTGCCGTGAGGTATCCATCAATGTGTGTTAACTGTGTGTCTCCTGGCTTTTTCAAGACAGATATAAACTACGATCTGGGTATGTCACGGTCGAAGAAGGGGCTAAAGGCCCTGTGATGGTAGCCCTTCAGGGCTTTACTATTCTCAAACAAAGGTATCTTCATTTGATTAACAAGTAGCCCACATCACATGAAATCAAAGTTCTATTATAATGGAATTAACAAGTTGATGCGTATGGTTGGCTTGTGAACTTGAGAACATGAAAAATTCCTTGTACATTGTTTCTTTAAACATGAATTAGACTGTTCCAATGCACGGAATACCTTTAATTTGCAGGAACTAAGAAATGTTCTAGAATAAATGCCTATAATTGTTGGGATCCAAGTCCTCTAGATGGCAGGAAAAATGATTTCACCGATGAAATGATGATCATACAAGCTTGGAATGTTTGCATTTAACTTGTAAGAATCAGTTTTTGAGTACTGTGCTCTTTATTAATTATTTCTTATTGCTATTTCTAAAGATCTTTATTTGCAATGTGAGACTTGCTATGATAAGTGTGTACGTATTTTCCATCTAGTCCTGCTGCCATCCCTACGCAATAACTACGCCAGAGAAAATTGACATCAAAGAGTTCCAAGTGTTTTACTTCAGTACACCTAGGGAATAAATGATAGTAGTTGACAAGATCTCTGAAAGTTAGTAGTTTGGATAAGTTCTAGCAGTATGAGGAGAAAATAGAGGATCTAATTCATTTGTGATAAACTGCAATGTGACAGTTGATCATTTAGTTATTTCATGATGGAGCAAAATTAACTTAAAAGCATTCGCTGTGAGTCCATAAAGCTGATAGCCTGGCAAAGATTATACCATTTCAGAAAATCGAGAAAAAAAACTTAGGAATAAGACTGGAGAATGAAACAGTGGCATTACGAAATAGACGCTATTCAAATCGAACGGACATGAGTGTAGAGTTGGCGGGAAAAAGTCAAAAGAAGATGTGCACAGGCAGCTGGAGATTTGGCGGTTGACCGCACATGGTGCTGCGGTCGACCGCACCAGAGCCAGAAGTCAGTTTCGGCTTTGGACTTTTGGCGGTCGACCGCAGCACCAAGTGCGGTCGACCACGATCGAGCCCAGGAGTTTCCCAGCTCTCGGGATAATTTACGGTCGACTGGCAGTGTCACTGCGGTCGACCGGCCAGCGGGTTTTGGGTCTGGGTCAGTTTCCAGATCCGGTTTTCTTCTGACTTGTATATAAACCCTAAACTCGATTTTAGGGTTAAGTTTTGGAGGTTTTGAGCTGCCAAAGGGGATTTTCTAGGGCTTCTTTTGTTGGAGTCTATTGGAGAGATCAAGTAATCTTGTTTGAGGGTATTGGGTAAGATTTGTAACCCTAATTTGTATTCCCCTTGATTTCTATTAGTGAAACTCCCCCCTCCTTGCCCCGTGGACGTAGGCACATTACCGAACCACGTATATCTTGTGTTCTTGTTGTGGTCGGTTGGCTTATGTGCATTGTGGTCTACTATTGTTCTTGTGTGTGCTTTTGTATTGTCTATTTTGGGACTTCCGCGGCGCACAACAAGGAGAACATATACAGACCTGCCATCGAGAGAAATGTAGCGGGTGAGGAGGCTGGAGGGACAGAACCCGGTCTCCGCAGTTGCTGTAGCATTTCCTGCAGTAATTTGAAAGAAGTTTCGTTGTTGCATGTGAACAATGCAAGGGTTTCTATCAAAGTTAATTGCTTCCATAAATGAGGTAAATCTTCTTGAGATTAGCATAACTAAATACACAAAAGGAACTAGAGGATATCAAATATTATTAGATATTATTTTTTACTGAGTAAAGGCAAAGCATGTCCAAATGTGATGTCAGCCTTGCTCCATGATGAGCATTTTTGACTTGGTATCTGTAAATTTTGACATAATGAAGTATGGAGGTTTCCAATATTGGCTAAAATTCCCATGAAAACTCCAATTAACCTCCTGTTTCAGAAAGTCAGAAGATGGGAGCATCTACTATACTTGTGCATTCAGCTAGTTCATGATCAGACCCAAAATCGCCGGAAACAACAAGAGAAATGGAGTGAAGGCTATCACTTGACAAATGTTTGGGAAATATCTTAGTTTAGCAACAGTCAGAATTAGCATACTTACAGCATCCACAAAAGGCAGAGGTAAGCATCAGTCAGCATCATGATAGAAGAATATCTGTGGTTACAAAATCGACCAATTTCCACAGACATTAACAAACTTTGGTCAGCCTTTACAATGATTTCTCTTACAACAGTCATATTGAGGAAAACAGAACAACCGAGGCATGCTCCTAGTTCGTCAATATCATCTTTCAAAGTGGCAGAAACTCGCAACTTAATCTATCATATATTCATATCTCTAAATACTAGATGCCTGGTGATCTTTTGTAGAATCTTTTGTCAAATCTGAAGGTGGAGGCATATCAAAGCTGCCTGAAATCTGCACAGGGTGAGCATGTGAAAATGATTGACTGTTTAATGGCATGGATTGATGGTACAACTGAGGTTGAGAGCCAAAAGTCATTGCAGAGCTTGAAAACTGAGCAGTTTCATTTGATGCTGGATACCCATAAATCATGGAAGATGCCAGCAAATAATGGCCTGTTGAATTAAGAGATGCTGAGAAATATCCACTAAAAGGATCAATATTCGTTGCAACACTGTTGTTAGGCCAATACATTGAACCAGCATCGTACTGAACAGTGGGCGCAGGATATATAAAATTTGGGAGCTGAAATATGCTTTGGAAACCCATGCTACTGTTGGTAACAGATGGAGGAATGCCTGCTACTCGAACAGCTAATGCGTGGCCATCAATCTGATACCCGTTCATATATGATATAGCCATAGCAGCATTAGCAGGATCTTTGTACTTCACGAAACCATATCCTTTGCTGATGCCTGTGATCTTATCCCTCCTAATTATTGATGAACAGATCTCTCCGAAAGGTAAAAACAGCTGACTTAGCTTACACTCATCCACAGATTGTGGAAGATGAGCAACATATAAATTGGAATAATCAATTTGTTTCTGTGGCTTCATACTGTGAGTTACTGGATTGGCCATTGCAGATTGTGGAAGATAAGCAGCATATGGATTAGAATAATCAATCTGTTTCTGGAGCTCCATGCTGTTAGATATTGGATTGTTAATTGAAGTTGGCTGGTATGCCTGAGAAAAGTTGGATTGTTGATGAATTGAATTATTTCCTGTAACTATTTGATTTTTCTCAGCTAGCTCTCTTAGTTGGGTGAGCTTATGCACATTGTACTCCTCTTGCACTGGGATCAGAAGCTTTTCTACCATATTTGCAGCTGCATCCAAAGAAGCTTGGCTCTCTGCCTCTATAAAGACATGTGTATCCTCATTGTCAGAAGGGTCAGGATTAGATAGCTTGTCCTTTCGCATGAAACCTTTGCCTCGTATTGTAATGTTAGCACCTGTCTCTTTCTGCATCCTTTTCTGTGTGATCCCTTGCGGCCCAATTATAAGGCCAATGAAATTATAACCGGGATATTCCTTCTCTGGTATGTAGATCTTCTTCTGTAACTTTGGTCTTATGTAATAAGGAGGAGGCTTAAAACCAGGAAAATTTTGAACTAATTCTGAAAGAATTGTTTGCCGCTGCATCATGAGCTTTTGACGGAGCTTAGACTCCTTTAAAATCTCAAACCCTGGTGGTGGAGAGGGGGATCTTTCATGTTTCTGCCGATCATCAATAACCTCTCTGTCCAGCAGCCTTTCAGTAATCTTCGAAGCCTGTTTGTGCAAATTCTGAAATTCCGGATCAAAAAGAAAATCAGGAAGCTTAATCGCTCCAGGCATTTTAGATATAGTGTTCTTTTTTTGAATATCCACATGAACACAATCGTCTGTAGAGCCGGAATCTCCTGGCACCGCATCCCATTTACTCAGCTTCCTTTTATGAGAAATCCTTGCAGTCTCCTCTTTCTCAGAAATAATCAAGCTACTAGATAAGTTTCGAGATTTTCCCAAAAGGTTGTTACTGCTAGATTGAGCTGAGTCTTTATCGCTGTCTCTGTTGTAAGACCGACATGCTAACTGTCCTTCTGATGGCTCATCTTTTGCTAGTGCTTTCTCGTATGGTTCATCATCAGATTCTGTCTGGCATGCTTCTTCTTCAAATGGCTCTTCCTGACTTGGATTGTCCTCGTATGTTTCTTCTTCATTTGGTTTGTCTTCACTCGGATCTTCCTCATATGGCTCTTCTTCAAATGGTTCTTCCTCACTCGGATCTTGCTCATATGGCTCTTCTTCAGATGGCTCTTCCTCACTCGGATCTTGCTCATATGGCTCTTCGTCCCTCGGATCTTGCTCATATGGCTCTTCTTCACTTGGTTCTTCTTCATATGGCTCTTCTTCACATGGTTCTTCTTCGTGTGGCTCTTCAGATGGTTCTTCTTCACTTTCATCCATGATCCCCACGTTCCTGTTCCCATTATTACTCCTAGTTTCACCATGAACAACCAAGCACAGATTCCTCTCCATATATAAACTCTGAAGTAACCCCTGAAAAAATAGATTACACAATTAAAACGCTAATTTCACGATCACATGATAAAGATCAGAAACCATTTTAATCTTAAAACATATCAAAATTATTAATCGACACATATCCACTTCCATTTTCTTACTTCATGCATCAGAAAGCTCTTAACTGCTTAGATTAGATCGATTAAAGAACCTACACAAATCTCAAATATTTAATGCACTCGCTAAAGCCAAACTGGCAACATGTGCAGTCTAGCAAATTAGCTCCAGTATAAGTTCATTGATAATCCATGAGACATTCCATTTGATCCCTTTAGAAGTTGTTCCTATCTATCCTCCCGAATTTCCTGAATAATCTGCTAACAGAACAAGTTTCAACAACAACTTTTAACAGTATCACGACTCAAAATAGCCAACATGTGCCACAAACATCAGCTCATGCTAAAAAAAAAAAAAACCAATCCAAGAAACATTCATGAAATAAAACCAAATATGTATGTCCATGATCTTCCCTTGTATCTTCTATTGCCATTTAGATCAAGTGGGTGACTCTCTTGA